CTCCGGCGCCGCTTTTATGCTATTAATTTGTGCATGACATAATGTTGCTTGAAAACTATCTCTGAAAAGTAAAATGAAGTTATATATATATTCCCGATACAACTGGTTACGCATCTCAATGTATACGGTTTTCGAACTTTAGTGCGCTGTGCTAGCTATTTTTTAAAAATGTACATATATCGCTTCTCAACGGCACTTTATTGAAATGATTACAGCTTTCGCATCCGTAACACGTACGTTATATCACGCTGCAAGGTCACTCGCGTGCCAAGACACAAATATGTTTAGTAGTAATTTCGCGCGTCTGACTGTCTCGGCAGTGTCATGGAAGGTCATTGTTGACTGTGTTGACCGGCTTTAACTTATTCTATAATTCTGCGTTCAGCATTTGGCAAAGCTCTCTTTAAAACTATAGTTTTTTTAGGTTAAGAGGAGTCGAATTAAGGCTATAAATACTATAATACCGTCATTTGTTTTGCTGCAATTGAGAAGCAATCACAGTGGCCAGAAATCACGGACATGATTTCCTTACTAACTTTGCATACATTAATACACAACATCTTGAAATATGACTTCGATAGTAATGGAACTTATTGCCACAGCGATAAGACGTTTTATTGCTTCCCGGAATAATTTATAGTTGAAATTTATTATGCGAAATAAGTTATTTGCGCGCGCAAGTTAATTTAAGTATAATCACGTGATTGGAAATTTCGGCATTTATCCGGTGGTGAAGCGGGCCGTCTTTCCTTTCCTATTCCACGAGGGCTGCAGATCACATCAAGAAATTGGATGGAAATCAGGGAAGAGATTTACCCACCCTCCTTCCCGTTATTGGACGCTATATAATGAACTTATATAGATATATGTTATGTGTAGTGGGCGTTAATAGTAATACCCTCACCTTTTCTGTGCTAAATGTTATATAGTTATTAATTAATAATTTTTCTTGTTAATTATTAAAAATTGATTAAAAACAATAAAGCGGCTATGTGCTAACAACTGAGCACATAAGCCATAATTATGCCATAAAGGCTTCGACAGGTCTTGTAATATTCGGCAGCACAGAAAACCGAACTCAACCTGACAAACAGTTCGACGATGCATGGTGGTTTAATATACGCAGGAGGCGATGAACAGTACATTATATTACGCGATGCTTTAAATCGCAAAATCAGAGGATATTGGTAGTCGTTTGCAATTTGTTTCGATTGCTGGTAGGAGAACACAGTCTGTTGAAATATACCGTGTAATGTTTGCCTGGTGTAAGTTACTGCCTATTCGGCTGCATTTTCGTTTGTTTCTAGTATAATGTTTCGTAACACTAGTGGCAATAGTGAGGTATTCTTATATAGAATTAAATAGACAAATTCCGTACAAACTAACCTCTGTACAAATACTGAAAATGCAGAATGGTCACTAACTAAAATCAACGAAGGCGACATTACGCTAAATACTTCGACAGTCCACTTTGATTTATAGCCAGCGACTGAGACAAGTTGCAAACGGCCTACCATATTCGGCTCTGATTTTGGGATTTACAGCATCCCGTACTGATATAATTTACTGTTTACTGCAGAAGCCATATTTCAACGTGATATGCAACAGTAATTACGAAGGAAGTAGAATAAATCATGTCCGTGATTTCTGGCCATGGTACTCGGATACAGTTACATGATGAACCAAAAGATAGGCTGGCTTTATCAAGCCTAGGAAACTTTAAGGCAGAATGCAGTGTTCCATGACTTTTGGGGGAAATTCTGAATCAAAACTCGCTCCGTCGCTTTTCTTAAAGTCATTTAACTCCGTGATATCTATAACTTCAACTGTCTCCGATAAAATCATGGTTTTCCCATTTTTGTGACGATCCCTGCCCACTCTCAACCAGGTAACACGAACCCCATTTTTACCCAGTCATTAAAATAATATAATTATATACAATGATCCTATCTCATTTTTACACCACGAAATAAGCTACACTCAGTGCCGTAAATATCCCGGGAATTTGGGCGTCTCACTCGATAGAACTAAATAGTCAGTAAATGAATTTATATAGGGGGAAATTTCTAGTCTAACTTCTACTATTAATTTATTATTATAATACGGAAAGTAGATGCGAAAAGTGCCACTTTTGTCCCACTGGCTGGAACCGACCATGTCTAGTCCTGCGATCCCGGTGCAACGCTCTAACCAACCTAGGCCGTTCCTAGCGCGATAATTGGGGGGGGGGTGTATATTCATATATTCGTGTTCTACCCGACTGATTTCTTTTAAAAGCGACTGTTTTTTACGGTATGTCAACATGAATATATGAATATACCCCCCTAATTATCGCGTCTAGGAACGGCCCTGTAACCAACTGAGCTACAGAGACCAGTTTTTGAGCGCAACTGTTCCTGATTAGGTGCAGGGTTAGGTCTAATAAAAATTACACTCGAAATCTCCATCTTCAAATCAACCCTTCACTTTGACGTGCTGGATTGTGGCTGGACTGCCAGAAACGATTAGCTACTTACTAGAGGTGTGCATCGGATCGGATTGGACGTTTATAATCTGACAATTGGCTAATGTTTAAAATCCGATCCGATCCGAAATTGTCTAATCCGAATCCGATCCGATCTGACTTGTGATAAAGAGTTCCAATCCGATCCGATCCGAAGAATCCTTTAACAAAATAAATTTCTCATTCAAGTTGAAATGTTTAACCAAATAAATATAAAAACAAGAAATACATGTCAAGAAGCTGACAAAGTGACGTCCAATTGAAGTATCAAACGAAAAATGCAGCGACAACTGCCGATAATGCTTTGATAAATGCGTGGATAATTAATTCATTTTATTTCGAATATCGAAGTCCGATCCGATCCGATCCGCCTACGAAAGAACTTTATCAATCCGATCCGAAATGTATATTTTTGTTCCGAAATCCGAACGAATCCGATCGGATTCGGATCGGATTTGCACATCTCTACTACCTACTAACTTTCCAACTTAATACTAACCTTGCATGTGGACTCACCTACACTGCATGGACCTCGATTTTAGATATCACTTTGAAAACACAGGCAGCCCTTAAATTGATACAAGAAAATTACGGCACAAGTTTAAAAATATACGTGTAAATATTCACTTCAAAATCATCAGGCAGAAGCTAGGGCATCCGGACAATGCAGCTGAGGTGGGAGCTAACTGAACTCAATTCCACTCGGCAGTCTGCCAAGACCATGTGCATTGCAATAATTTGCGATCATATGCACTGTCAATTTGATTGATATTTGGCTAATGAAAAAAAAAAACCCAAAAAACCCCGTTATAATTTGCTTTCTGAATGATTTGTAAGGTGGCGGTACCAACTAAGATTCCAAGTTCGAATGGTCACTTATGTACTCATTTGTCTTAAAATGACAAATTGTGTCCGTGTAAGATCAAGATTTCGTTTAATGAAAAAATAATAAAAATGGAGTAAAAGACCGGCAATAGAAGAAAATGCTATCAATTTTCTGTTTTGCGACATTCTCTTTGAAATCCCTTATGTATTTCCATAATCTTGACAAGTTTAAATATTGGTTTCGCCCCTTAAGTGCGTCAGTCGACTAGCGAAAATATGAAGTTTCTACGATTACAGCTAATGAGAAGCGTTGAAGTTTAGAATACTCTGCTTTTGTCAGTATTGGATGTAATAATTCTTAAATAAGGAAAATAATTCGCGCCAACGTCCAGAAAATGACGCGCAAAGTATATGCACATGCACGTTAATTCATATTATAATATAGTCATGCACCGTATATGAGCTGTTCTGCAATCTGATTGGTTGAATTACTCGCCGTATATCAGCTCATATACGGCGAGTAGCGAAAAACAAGATGGCGGTCCAAAAACTACATGAGCTTTGCGAAGCAGAAAAAGGAAAATATTCGCTTTGAGAAACATAATAGTACAAGGAAAAACTCTCAAAAAAAATTTGACAGGTTAGCAAAATACATTTATTACGTAGAAATTAGTTTAAATACAAGTTTTTCAAAGAATTAATACCGAAACAACAGCGAAAAAACATGTTCATCGAGAATGTAAATTGTTCAGAAATGTTTGCAATGAACGACAAATGAATTTGCAGTCAACAAGCACTTACTATAGTACCAAACATCTGTATAATATATCTGAGCTTTTCTGTGAGATATAGAGGTTCTAAAACCATTTCTTTCACTTCGTCTTCGAGTTGTAAAACAAAAGTATTTCAAATTTTCAAGCGGTTTTTGGCCGAACAAATTGTCAACACATTGTAACAGTGAATAATTAATTACTGCTTCAGTTAATATTAGACTATATTATAAAACAAATTATACCATTCGCTCTCGTCGTATATGGCTGATAGCCGACTCGGTGCTACGCACCTTGTCGGCTATCAGCTCATATACGACTCGAGCTCATGGTATAATTGTTAAATATATCATGCACAGAGCGTTTAATTTGAAGTAACGCCTATAATTAGCTTTTCTCATGCACGCTGGGCTTATCACCATTTTGTTTTTTTTCAACTTTTTATAACAGTAGTTGAGTATATAGCACTATAGTGATAAATTTGCAGTCAAAAACCGTTGAAAAGCGGTTTTCACATTGTTTAGCAGTGCCGTAGCAAGCTCGATAATT